TGTTTTGCTAAATTGTGAAGTGCTTGATCATGTATAGCTAGCTGGTTGTATGACATGCTTATGTGTGTATAGTGTAACATATGCTTGTTTAGTATGCTTGTTGCATTCCTTCATGTGTATTCTTTATGTTCATGCATCTGCATCTATGCATCTCATCCTAGGTACGCTTAGGTACAGCACGTGGACGTGGAGCGCATGATGTGGAGACAGACGATGGGGTATGGTGGACCTATCCCGAAGGTGGAAGGACTGGACAAGTGCTAGGGACGGAGATGCTCACTTAGCAGTGTCGTCTACCTAACACCGACTTGTGTCGGATCCCGTGCAAGCCCGGAGCATTCTAAGTCTCCCATGTTTTTACAAATATCTTGAGTATCTTTTATTGTTGATGATGCATTAAGTATAGGAATTGGTTGGAACCAATTGTTGCATTATATCCTTACCTTGTCCAGATAAAATCTCGTGAATCCTAATTAAGTGTAGGATCGAATGATGCTTAGCTATGCATAGACCGGTAGAAGTCGGGTGATTTCTGTCACCGCGAGATGTAGGATGAGCTCTGGTCACGGTTGGCTAAAATGGCTATCATGAAAAAGAACCATGTGTTAATAATGAAAGTAGACCGGACGGGATGATGGTAGTGCAGCAACAAGGCATGGAGGTCTTGGGTGTGAATCTATCCCGTCGTGTCGTTTAAGGACCGACACTGTCAGACGTCCTCATGTCATGTTGAACGCAGCCTAACACTTAGCTGGCGGATAAGTCGTTCCGACCATGGGCCGAGTAGCTCAACTCGGCCGGGAACCGTGGGGGTTGGATGCATTGGAGGTAGTAAGGATGTGCGGAGAGCCATTGGCATAAGTCCAAGGGGAGTCGAGGTTTAAGATCCCGCACTTCTGGCAGAGTGGTTCTCTCGAGAATGCAGTATGCCCGGACCGCGTCTTTTTTTTACTTTTTTCCCGAGTTGTACCAAAGGTGACTTGTTTGCGACTCGACGGGGAAGGGGTTTGTGTTAGGAATACCTCCAATTTGGATAGGAATCGATTGAATCGCCGTCTCTCCCGGATAGTGAGAACTTGGTGAGCAAATGCAACGTAGATTCACTAAATTTAAAGATATGGTTAAATGATGATGATGATGATGATGATAATGACAATGAGCCATGAAATACATGATATGGTTATTATTGTTTGCAACTTAATCAAGTGATTGATTAGTACAAAAGTGCTAATATAGATGGTAGGTAATGGCTAAAAGTCACTGCTAGTACAGGTGAATAATGCTAATGGTTACTCAAGCTTTTATGCAAAAAGGTTGTCCAACCAGATCCACTAAATTAAGCTATGCATGATCCTTGGTGTCATTTGTTTTGGTTTTCGACGGGTAAGTCCGGCTGAGTACATTCGAGTACTGGGGTTTATCCCACCATGTTGCGGTGGAGTTCTCTACCTGTTGAAGATGGTGGCTAACCGCCATGTGGGCTCGGTGATTCTATAGTTACTTCTCATCTATATGCTTTTGTCGGATGATGTCACTTATGCTAGCAATATATTTGGAACTTATATTAATTTAATCATTTGAAAGCTATGTTGTTTTCACTAAGCGGTTTTGAAACCCAAACTTGTACTTTTATTTGTGAAACCTTATGTAATATTATTTCCGCTGCAACCCTGTGTATGTGATGTGTATTTGCTTAATCACGCGATCTTGGTTGTGATGTTGATTTACCGAGGTTTTTCGGGATACTCGGCGGACTACCGGGTTTATATAAGTGAAAGTATGTGTGTGTCAACGTGTTAGCGGGGACAGCCGTACTTGATCTTGTATAAATTGGGCGGTTCTGTCACATTCAGCTTGTTCGTTTGCTTGCTAGGCTAGATCTTCCCCTACGTCTTGGTGAAACTGAGGCCTGGGAAGATTACATAAAAACTGCTCATAACCCTAGGTACTCAACTGTTTCTAAGCAAACTACAGCTAGAGATCTTTTTAAGTATTTCAATGAGAAGCGTGGTCGTTTGATTGATGATTTGAAGAACAATGCCATTTCATCTGTTGCTATTACTTCTTATATTTGGTCTGGAAATGCTAAAGAAGATTATTTGAGTGTTGTTGGTCATTACATTAATGCTGATTGGCAACTTGAAAAAAGAGTGCTTGGCTTAAGGCTTATAGATGCATCACATAATGCTGAGAACATTGCTGAACGTGTTAGTAATGTGCTTAATGATTATGGTATATTGAACAAGGTCTTTTCTGTTACTTTGGACAATGCCTCTGCTAATAACAAAGCTATGGATAAACTGAAACCTGTGCTTAAGGAGTATTTAGGTTCTGATTTATTTTTGCATCAACGCTGTGCTTGTCATATCATAAATCTGATTGTTAAAGAGGCTCTGGTTGCTGTTAGTCCTTTGATTGATGCTTTCAGAACTGCAATATCATACATTAACTCTTCTAACCAGAGAGTTGCTGCATATAAGAGTTATTGCATGGCATCTGGTATTAGACCTAGGAAGTTTGCATTGGACATGGATGTTAGATGGAACTCTACATACCTGATGCTTAGGCATTTGCTACCACACAAGGAAACTTTCCATACTTTCATTGAGTCTAATTATCCTAGAGCTAAAGGTGGCCCCTTTCTTTTGACTCATGATCATTGGGCTATGACAATTAAAATACTGGAATTCCTTGAACTGTTTTGACTCAACAGTTGCTTTGTCTGGTGTCTACTATCCTACTGCCCCACTTATGGTTCATCATATTATTAAGATTGCTATACACCTGCATAAGTATCAAAATGATGAACATATTAGAACTGTTGTTTAACCTATGATTGATAAGTACAATAAGTATTGGAGAACCATACCTGATCTTTACTGCATTGCATTTATCTTGGATCCAAGAGCTAAAATTAAAGGTTTTAACAAAGTGCTTAGAAAGTTAAATTTGCTTACTGATGCTGATTATTCTAATAAGATCATGCAAATTAGAACTCTTCTCTTCAAACTGTATCATAAGTATGATGATTTGTATGGATCTGTAGGGGCCAAAAGGGCTGACCCTCCAAGCCTATCTGGTAAGAAAAGAACAGCTTGGGCTGAAATATATGATGATGATGATGATGGTGGTGGTATGGTTGGAGCTGGCTGTTCTTCTCTTCCTTCTAATCTTGATATGTCTAGGACTATTCCTGCTACTGCTTTGCTACATGCAGCAAATTCTTCTAGCAGTAGTTCTGAACTGTCTGCTTATCTAGATTGTGACACAGTGAGCCAGTGGGATGATGACTTCAACATCCTGAACTGGTGGCATCATCATAAGCTAACATATCCAGTTCTTTCTACCTTGCTAAAGATGTTTTCAGTATGCCTGTTTCTACCATTTCATCAGAAGCTACTTTCAGTACCACTGGCAGGATCATTGAAGAAAGGCGGCGGAGGCTAAACCCTGAGACTGTGGAGGCACTCACATGCATCAAGGACTGGGAAGCTGCTGAGTCAAGGCTACAACATATGGTGGAGGATAAGGAGCTCGAGGAGGCCTTTGAAAATCTTTATCTTGATTAGTCATTCATTTATGTAATGGTCTGTAATTTTAATTGGACTTGGATGCTTTGGACCTGTGGATTGGATGTAATGAACAATTGAATTACACTAAAGGGCTGACTGCACTCTTTTTCCCTGTTCAGGGTTTCTCACAAGGGTGAGTTTTACCTAGACAGGTTTTTAATGAGGCAGCCATTGCACAGCCCTTCCTTTTGATATTTTGTTGCCTGGTGTTCTCTTCTTGATTTTGATTTCTTCATATTTGAGTTGTTCTCTGTTTTCTGAAATTTTGATATGGTTTTGTGGGTTAGTGCCAAGGCACGGCACTAACACTAACGCTGGATCGCTGTGCTCTGGGATGTACGGCATGGCACGGCACATTTGTCTGGAGTGCTTAGTGCCGCGTGCGGGCCAGAGGTCGAGCACGCAATGACACTACACACACACGACACGACAAGGCTACCGTGTTCGACTGCGCGTGCGCTGCGGGCTCGTGCAGTGCGTGCCCAAATGCGTTTCGTGTTGTGTAGTGCCCGTGCGGCCCGTTTGGAAATCTTTAACGATGAGGGACCTATTTTTCTGTAGTTCTGCAGCTTCTTTCTGTTGTACTTTCTCTTGTTTTCTCTCTTAAGAGATTTTGAGTTTATCCTATGTCAAACTTTTCTAAGGTTTGACCAAATTTATTATAAAAACAATAATATTTATGCTATCAAATGAGCATAATTAGATCTATTATGAAATATATTTTCATAATTTACTTCTTTGATATGCTATAGGTGGGCCATTCTATATACTTGGTCAAACCTAGAATAGTTTGACTTACGTACTTTCAGGATGAATGAAGTAGAACTTAGATACTATAAGTGGGCCATTTTAGGATTCCAATTCCCTATCCTATTTCTTTTTCAACAGGCAAAAAAAAAGGATTACAATAAGTTTACTTCATTTAGAGTGAAGTGTGTGTCATCTAGGTATGTCTAGGTCCCTAAATTTACTAATTGGTTTACACGAGATCTAAATATGTATTGATTCGCCTACTTACCATTTACATGGCACCCATATCATCCAAGTTCGGGTACGGCTTTGTAAATATGGTATTCATCAAATATGCATCTTCTAACCATCAACTTTTCCAAATGGAATTTCTGTACTATGTTGATACCAAGATATTTAAAGCCTTTTTGCACGAAAAGCCATATAATGTCTGACCGGGTTCACAACATGCTCTGCCTGCCTCTAGTCTGGATCAGACAAATGTAAAAACTGAGCAAGCAGGAGAGGCCCATAAATATCTCAAATTGTGCATTTTAACTCTGGTTTTAGATGTGCGAAGGAAAGGTGCTTAACAATAAGTTAAAAGAAACTCGACTAAGGTCGATACTTCCTATACTACCAGGAGAGAACAAATCCACAGAGTGGCATGGCACACGCATATAACAATATAGTTATCAGTTATCGCATTGCAGACTCGGAAGTGTCCAAGGTCATCAGAGGTAATTCTATAAGTTTCCATGGGTCAGGCTCCTCTGTGGTTGGGTAAACCCAATAGGGTTTGCGCAGTGGCCATCTGTCATTCAACAAATGATATTTCAGAAAAGAAAAGATAAATTCAGGTGAAAGATTGCAACAAAACTACTCCCTGAAAATGTGTTAGAAAGAACACCTGCTTGGACTACGCTTGATGTTTTCAGCAGCCATGATCCTACCAAATAAACACACAAAACAACTGTTTACACATCTATCTATGATAATAGAATTAGAATAGGCATAGCACATGTACACATTAACACAAGGTGCTTAATGGGGGTAGTCTTAGCGTCAGAAGCTGTGATATTTCAAATTGGCATGGCTTGCAAGTTCAGATAGGAGAGTGAGCGAAGTGGGGGCAGTGAACGGCATAAGTTGCATGAGTTCCATGCCATAAAAAATCAACATAGATATTGAGAGCATACCCTCTTGTCTCAAATTGCCTGAGGCATTCAAGAATTACATTTCTAGGCAGGAATGGGGTTCCTTCCTCACCACAGAAGTTCATGCCAAGGAAGTTACCATTGAAATCAACAAGGGGCCCTCCAATCCCAGCCTAGCAAAAAAAAAAAAAAAAAACAGTGACAGTGAAAAAGATGTCCACGTAATGCCTAGCAGATGTAGTTCAACATGCAGTGACAGATTAGGTGCAAGCCTGATGTAGTAATTTATATCCGTCACGTAAAAAGTAAGAGAAATGAGCAGTGTACCTTAGTGATTTTACAGGTGGAGATCATAAGCTCATCGCAACCCAAATTGCTCTGTTTATCAGTAACTACTCCACGCGTGGCTGTTAATCTGCCACTACTGAAAACACGCCCCACAGCTACCACCTCTCTACCAGTCTCAGTTTCCATTGGATGATAGAGATTTGCTGCACGAGAATCAGAGCAGACCATGTTGTTGACAACAGCAATGTTATAATGTAGATCATAGTATTGCAGCGTCCCATCGACACATTGTCCATTTGGAAGGTGCATTTTAATCTGCAAGATGGGAGTTAAATCAGAATGGTAAATGAACATGCGGAGCATTACAAAATGAACGGCAAACCCACCTGCAAGTTCTCAACAACTGCATTTTCATCGTCCGAAGACCTGACCAAACTTGCTGACGTCAGCACACTCGTATGTAGATCGTACTTTATAAGTATGCCTGAGCATGCAAACCACCTTGTTTTCCCTATGCACAACATATTTCAGGTCATAGCATATTAGTGATTACTGAAGTGGAAACCAAATGACCAAGTCACAGTATAGTCACCTTTGAATGAAGCAAGTGAAACAACATTCTGAGACAAATTTGAAGCAAGTTCCACACTGAGTTCATTCATGAAGTCTCTTCTATAGTCACGCGATTTGCAGAATCTCTCTTCAAAAGAATTAACCAGGTGCATGCCAGCTGGTTGAAGAAACACAGTAAAGCACAACAGTGAGAGTTAACAAAGCTGGCAAAAGCACAAAAATGGGGAAAGTTTGCAAAATCTATAGCATCTACTCACTGCAGATAGTAGTTGGCAAGGGATAATTCCAGCTGCGTAGATCATCATGCATCATATCAACAAATGCTATGGCAAAAGGTTAAGCAGTTAGCACTTAGCACTTTAAGCACTGACAGAAAACAACAGCAAAGTATGTCAGAATTAAAAGATGCCAAGTACAACTAATAAAGCTGATGTCCTTCCATACTGGTAGAAATTATGGACACATAAATCAGTAAAAAACATCAGATATGCATCAACTTACATATGATTCATGATTTCAATATTTATATCAGCCGTAAAAGAAATTCACCTTGTGAAAAGAAGCCACAAGACGGGGGCGGGGAACGGTCTATGGGGCCTACGATAGAAAGGATGAGTCAAAGGAAATAGCAATCTGAAATCGACAAATTGGAATAGCATACTGAAACTAATGAACGAAAGGCAAGCTCTGTGTAAGATATTCCCATATGGTATACCCAAAAATATGGATTTTTTGCCCCCTAGGGGCTCATGCACTCCATTTATTAAACATAGTTTTGATGTTTCCAAGAATGATATCCAAACAATTGAGGGATCAAGATACATACTACTGCATGTTTTTAGTCAAAAAAAAAAAACAAATCTACAATTGTGTAGCATGAATCTCACTGCATACTCAATGGGGTCAATATAAGGAGTATGTGCTGCCGGGGTACATCTGTCTTTCTCAAGCAAGGAGAACTACTTATATAGCTAGTAAGCCACTAACTATTTGTCAGCTTGCTGTTCGCTACTGTAAAACTGTCATTGTACTGCAGTGAGGACACTAACACAATGATAACTAACAATAAATAGTATGGTATAATTCTTAATTAAGAGGTTTATTTTTTTCTTCTTACTTGTGTAGCCATTTCCTTCGTTGTCATCCCTGCAGTAGAACATAGTATATCTGTTATAATTGCTGCAGAGAAGTACTATCCCAAAAGGCAGGAAGTCACATGGCCAGATTATTAGATAAAGAAGAGTCTAGGGATATCGCAATGAAAATATGTCCAAATAAGTTTGTACCAAAGTATCCTATTTTATTTAGGCCACCTTTAGTGTTCAAACAAGATTTCCAATCTCACTGCTGGGACACAATGGGACAATGATGCTAACAGAACAGGTGGCAAGTTTCCATGTAAGACTTGTGCTTATTCAGTCAAATAGGTAGGAAACCAGAATATGAAGGAATAAACATATGCAAAAATGCAAATCAACTGCAAATGACTAAAAAATCCAAAAGGCCGATACATACATCAGGCAAAAGCAAAGCAACTACAGGTCTTCAAATGCAAAAATTATGTGTCCTGTTATCTATTTCGTGTATAAAACATGAGCTGAAACTTCAAAGCGTCTAAGATTTTAAAAAACTCTCTATCTCTTATTACAAGCATATTGTTAAATAAAACATCACGAAAGGCAGCCTCAACTTGCCTTCTATATTTACTCACTTCTGTTGACATTTCTGCTCAATGAAACTAACGAGATAAACATGGCGGATAGATTAATGGGGCAGCAAACTCAAGTGTGCAAGTACAAAATATGCATACATAAGCCAGTAGAGAAGCTGTTGCACATAAATAATAGCATACCGAAATATCCCAAAACTTTCAAGCATTTGAGAATTATACTCCTTGGAAGGAATGGTGTTTCTTCCGCACCATAAAAGTTCATGCCATGAAAGTACCCATCAACATCAACAAGGGGCCCTCCAATACCAGCCTAGCAAATAAATATAAATAAATAAATAAAATGACAATTAACAACTGCTACACTGGAAGAGAAACCTGCCAATGCCTTGAAGAACTTTAGTAATGCAATGAACAATTAAGCCACTCATACTCATACCCCGATGCAACTATCTGTAACCATCATGTACAAATAAAAAAAATGTACCTTACTGATTTTACAAGTGGAGGCTGCGATCTCTTCATGATCAAATATGCTTGTCGTGTCCTTCACTAACCCGCTTGTGGCCATCAATTTTCTGGAGTTGTAAACACGACCCACGGCCAGCACCTTGCTGCATGACGTAAGTTGCACTTGGTGGTCAAGACGTGCCACGGGAAGATGGGGGGTCTTGATATTGACAAGAAGGAGGTTGTAATCCAAATCATAGTCTCCCAACCACCCGTTGATATAGTTTGGGTAATTAGAGCGCACTCTAATCTGAAATGACAAAATCAGACATAACTAGTATTGTGAATGAACAAGTAGAAGGTGTAAAGCATGACTAGCACCACCAACCCTCAAGTCATCTTCAATCCTGCTTTCATCGTGAGAAGATCTGACCAAACTTGCTGAAGTCAGCAAAGTTGTGATGAGTGGCTCACATCTTATAACTATGCCTGAGCATGCACATAGCATCACACCTCCTTCACATGATCATAATTTCAATTATTCATTAATGATGATCCAATAAGATGTGGAAACTAATGAGAAGACACCAATTCACCTTTAAATGAAGCAAGGGAGAAAACATTGCGAGACAACTTTATAGCAGCTCTTTTGCTGATTTCACTCCAGACACCTTGACCAGAATCATTTGTATCACCAAATTCCTCATCAAAAGGATCAACCTGATCCCTGCACACTGATGAAAGAAAAAATTGTATATTATAATCAAATAGTGAAAAGGTGGGTCTATGTGAAGAAAGGAACAATTGACACACAATGGAAAGCCCTCAATCGTTATTCATGTTGTGCAAAATTTCTGCTTCTTACTTTCACTATTTTCTCCTCCACAACCATCTTCTTGCTTATATTTCAGCATCCTCCAAACTGCAGCAGAAGAACGATAAGAAAAAATTGTGTCGTGGCCAAGAGGCCGAATGTTTTATTTCAGAAAAGGAGACCGAACGTTGACATGAATGCTACACCAAACAATCCAACTGCAGTTACATAAACACAAGGTTATGTCAAGCCTGATTCAACCTGTACAAGTTATTCTCTTTTTCATCTCATTTTGCCTATTACGAACTAGTGTGTGTTCTCATGATAGGAGATATTCTGGCTGAAGTCGACACCAAATGGTCTGAGTGCCAACCATCATAGAAAGCCAGAATGTGTGCTCCAATCTATCGAAATCCTTGCCTTTGCATTGCAAGGATTATAAGAGGATCGGTTATTACCATGGATCCAAATTTTGATCGAGATAAACTGTAAACGACTCATTAGGCTCAGGTAGGTAGTTGCAAGTCAAATCCCAATCCATTCCCAACTTTCACACAAGTTTCAACATAACAATAACTACCACTTAAATTACTACTAGAAACGCAACCAAACTACCACTAGAAAAAAGAATTACCACCTACATTAAAATCTGAAAATGACAATCACACCAAAATCAACTGAGATCAATCGTTCTTGTGGAAGCTGAAGAAGAGCTCAATGGAACCGAAACAGAACCTCGTATGAATTAGATTAGCAAGCCACCATGGAGCTAAACAATCCGCTACCAACTGCTGGGGAGACGCTAGGGTTGGATTTATCAGCAGCTAAAAGATCTCCCAGGCAAAACTAGGTAAAATTCGAGGACAATCCATCCGACGGGATTAGGGTTCTTACCAGAGCCAATTCGACTGTCTCCGCGCCTGGGCGGGCGGGGGCGGCGAGGGGGACTAGATGAATTCCTTCGGGGTTGCGGAGACCGGATGGGGAACGCGGCGCAACGGAGTTCGGCGCGGCCGAAGAGGACGCTGCCCTACGCCTACCCTATGATACAATAATAATCTCTATCTCCGCCCCGCTCTGCTCATCCGAACCGAAAAAAGAAACCAAATCGGATAAAAAAAAGTACGCGTGAGGTCTTCTCGCTGTTCGACACGGATGGGGATGGCCACATCGCGCCCTCGGAGCTGGGCGTCCTCAGGGGGAGGGCGCTCGCCCGCCACTTCCGCTCGCGCTAAGAGGGAGCTGACGCGACAGCTCGCCGCCCGCCAGGTACCGTCGCGCCGGGGGAGGGAAACTGCGAGCCAGCTAGCTCTTCGCGACGGAGGTGGGAGACGTTGACGAACCAGAAAAAAAATCGACCTTTTTTCCCCGAGATTTGAAGCACGGCGCTCCCAAAAACATCTCAAGAAACCAAAAATCTGGTTGGATTTGTGGAGAAGGCGAGCAAAGATTCCACCTTTCTTCTTGCATCAGCTCGGATCTGAGGAAAGCAGCAATGCAGTAGGCTAGCAGCAAGGAACGAGAAACTTTCTCTTGGCCCGGAGATCCAAGTTTCTCTGGCTCCGCGGCTCAAAAAATGAAATCTTCCAGCTCAGAACAGATCAAGGAATCCTTGCTCCATCTCCCTGCTCCCTCTACACGCTGTGGATTTTTGCTTCCAGGCTCCAGCTCTATCCCTCTCCGCTCTCCGGTAGCAGGGAGATGGAGCAAGGATTCCTCGATCTGTTTTGAGCTGGAAGATTTCATCTTTTGAGCCGCGGAGCCAGAGAAACTTGATCTCCAGGCCATCCAAGAGAAAGTTTCTCGTTCCTTGCTGCTGCTAGCCTACTGCATTGCTGCCTTCCCCAGATCCGAGCTGCTGTAAGAAGAAAGGTGGAATCTTTGCTCGTCTTCTCCACAAATCCAACCAGATTTTTGGTTTCTTGAGATGTTTTTGGGAGCGCTGTGCTTCAAATCTCGGGGAAAAAAGGTCGATTTTTTTTCTGGTTCGTCAACGTCTCCCACCTCCGTCGCGAAGACATCGTTTTCTATATTTAATTCGATTGAATCCGTATTTTCTTGTCCGACTTTATCGTTTTCGCTTTCGCATTTCAAATGTTTCGTTCAAATATAAAAGTAGAAAACGGTTTAGACATTTTTCGATCGTTTTCTACTTTTAATTTAAAATATTCAGAATTGAAAATTCGGTTGGCCAACTGCACAGGTCATAGAGCTTAATTACAGGTTGTTCATCACGCAACTGCGTTCTTTCTACTGGTGGCCAACTGCCCTCTTTTATAGACGACGCCTAGCCTCATCTCTCTTCACCTCACGAGATGGTGCTAAATGTCAGAAAACATTTGTTAATTATTATATGCACTTGAATTTGATCATGTATGCACTTAGTCATGCACTTGGTCTACGGGTCGGTATTCCGTATTGAGTTTTCGTATATCGATCGTGTTCGACATAAATCCGTTTGAATTGGTTCGTTTTCGAAATTCTCAATAATTGGTAAGTTCGTGTTCGTTTTCGTGTCCGGTTTTAGCGTTTTCGCTTTCGTTTTCGTATTTCAAATATAAAAGTAGAAAATAATTTAGAAGTTTTTCGACCGTCTCCAACCGTTTTCATCGTTCTCCAGTGCGCAAAATATCTCCTCCAGTGCCTCTGCTCTCTTTCTCTCTCCCTCTCTCTCTCCCGACTGCAGCTCTTGTGAATTCTGTGCGCTTGGGTGTGGCAGTGTGTGGGTTTGTGTTAGGCAGGCCAGGAAAAGCACGGTGGGCAGCTTTTGTTTTCGAGCCAATTCCCTCTGCCCATTACAAATTCTGCGACTTCTCTGTGTACTATTGAAATTGCTGAATTTTTTTTTGTCGGCCATTAAAAAAATTATCCCTTGTGTGCTACTTTCGATGTGTTTTGTTAGCCCTCGTTTAGTTGCATAGAATTGGTGGCGGCAAAATCACGGTAAATCACTGTAGCACACTGTAGCGTTTGTATTTATGGATTATTGTCCAATCGTTGACTAAATAGGCTCAAAACGTTCGTCTCGTAAAATACGACCAAACTGTACAATTAGTTTTTGATTTCGTCAACATTTAGTACTCCATACATATACCGCAAGTTTAATGTAACGGAAAATCTTCTTTTTGCATGGTGCCAAAGTTTGAATTTTAGAGTAAACTAAACAGGGCCTTAGTCTTTTAACGGACAGACGAGCATTGGAATTACTTGAAATGACCTTGCGGCACTTGTTCCAAGCAAGAGGAAGTGGTGGTCGCCTAGAAGCCATGCTGATTTTGGCGAAGAATGGATCAGGAAGACGAATGCTGGAGCCGCGACCATACAGCTGTTTTGGTGCCATGGTGAAAGGATAAAATTTGGTGAGTCCCACTCGTCAGTCTAATTAAAGGCAGCAAGGTCATTTCAAGTAGTTACAATGCTCGTTCAGTGTCTCTGTCCACCAAAAAAACTAACAGAACACGTCGAAAGTGGCATATAGAGGGAACACGTCTAAAGTGGCATATAGGGGATATATTTTTTTTTTTTTTTTTTGCAATGGCTGACAAGAAAATTCAGCAATTTCAATGGCACATAGAAAAGTTACAAAAAATTTTAATGGCAGGAATTGGCTCTTTGTTTTCTTTCCCTAAGCTTTCACTTTTCAACGTACTCTAGAGTGGTAATAGTATATGTTTTTTAAATAGTAATCCATTCGTTCCAAAATAAACTTTCATCTTTAAATTTAATTAGAAATATAGAAAACAATATTAACATTTGCATGTTCAAAAAAAATTTAATATAAAAAGACATATGTGTTTTTATACTTTATATACTACTTCGTCCCATAAAAAGAGTTGTTATAAGACTCGTGCTGGTCAAACTTTCTAAAGTTTGAATAGATTTGTAGAAAATATTAGTAATATTCGTATCTTCAACTAAGTTTATTATAAAAATAAATTCAATGATTTATCAATGATACCAATTATATACCATAAATATTAATATTTTCTTATATATATGAAAGCATCTAGGCTCCTAGTGGGTTTCGGTGATTAATGACAACGTAAGATTATTGTGACTAACGATTTGAGTTAGGTCAAGATAATGGTGATTGTTTGGGCAATCAATGGTATTCATGCCCTTTGATGGAAATCGTTTCGGTTTTCAAAGGATGGACAACAAGGCTAAGGATGGCTAGTTCTAAGTGTCGTTTGGCGTTGGAGAGACACTTAGATTAGTTTAGGGCTTTGTTTTTTTTTTCTTTTGGCCGTACTATAAAGGGGGTATGAACTAGTAGCTTGACATAGGCGAGTCTAATGGTTTAGGTGTGGTGCACATTTGTCAAACTTAGCACTAAGTAGCTCAGGTATAGCCCAAAGATCATTTGAAGTCAACTCCATTCACAGTGTTTTGAATTGGAAGTGTTTGGAGTTGTCCCCGTGGCACGGACGTTGGTCCCCGTGGTATCGGACGCGTCCGGTCAGTACAAGACAGCACAGAAGAAGCAATGGAATCGACCGGACTCTAGCACAGTGGTCCCACCGGACGCGACTATGCCTAGGGTTTGGTTGCCCGTGGCACCGGACGCTGCACCGGACACTGGAGGTCAGCGCGTCCGGTGCAACTCAGAGAGGTTCCAGAGAGGGGTTTTCAGGACCGGATGCCAGCAAAATCCGGTCAACTAGCCGTTGCCTGTCAGAGATTACGTCACGTAGCCGTTGGCTACTGACCAGACACGTCCGGTCACCCCGACAGGCGTGTCCGGTGCATACTGAAAATGCTGAGTTAGACTCCAACGGGTATGTTTGGTTGTGGAGGCCATAAATACATCTCCTACTCCTCCAACATATCTCTCTTGCTCATTTGATCAGCTGAAGCAACCTTGTGGAGTTTTTGAGAGAGCAAGTGTCTAGTGGGGTGATTGAGATTTGTTAATCCAAGATTAAAGACCTCATTAGTGTCTAGGGAGTAGCAAGTGTGCATCCATCTTCCTCATTAGGCTTGTTTAGGTCAAGTGAGAGTTTGTGCTTGTTACTCTTGGTGATCGGCATCACCTAGACGGCTTGATGGTGATTCGGAGCTTGGTGATCATCCGACGGAGATTGTGGATGACCCAACTCATCTTGTGAGCGGTTGTGGATGATTCACCGTGCCGGAGTGGCGAAAGTTTGTGCTTGTTACTCTTGGTGATCGACATCACCTAGACGGCTTGGTGGTGATTCGGAGCTTGGTGATCATCCGGCGGAGATTGTGGATGACCCAACTCATCTTGTGAGCGGTTGTGGGTGATTCACCGTGCCAGAGTGGCGAAGAATCAGCCCGTAGAGAGCACTTGATCCTTGCGCGGATAAGGGGGAGCGATACCCTTGTGAGGGTGCTCCAACGAGGACTAGTGGGGAGTGCCGACTCTCCGATACGTCGGCAAAACGTCGCCGAGTTCCTTCCTTCTCTTTACTTTGAGCATTTATATTAAGCAATTCATTTTATGTCTTTACATTCTTAGAATTGCCATGCTAGAGTAGGGTTGGAACCTAGGTTGCAAAACTCTTTGTGCGAATAGAACAATAGGATACACTTTTAGGCACTAGGGGTGAAATGGGTTAAGTATAGAGCTTAATTATTGTAAGAATTTTTAAAGAAGCCCAATTTACCCCCGCTCTTGGGTATCTTGATCCTTTCAATATATTTGGTCAAAGTTAAAAATCTTTGACATTTTTAGAAACGAGAATGACACTTTTTATGGGATGGAGGGAGTATGTAATTAAATTTATATATTTCTTAATATGTTCGTCTGAGCTGCAAGCCACGTGCATCGTTGTAGGTGTGGACAAAAAAATCATGGTCCCGATGCAACACACGGGCATTTATCTAGTAACCCTTAAAAGCCCAAGCACGAAGGCATGGTTTAGGCCTCGCTCTGAGCGGGTTGAGGGCCCGTGGCTGCCCGCCCCACGTCCGTAACCAACCACAAACGCATGACGGGCCTATTTGGTTGGAGTCCTGGAATGATTTGCTTGACAAAAAGTGTTGTAAAGTTACCTGTACAATGGCCAGACAAGTTAGATGGATGTTTGTTTGTTTGGTGCCCTGAAAAGACTACTATGCTTGGCAATACTGATAAAAGAAAAGACATTATTGTCTATTTCTATCCATCTATATTGAGCGGGATAGCCGGAGGGGATGGAGCGTGATTGGAGAGGATGGATCCGGGATTGGTGCGAGCGAGCGCGCGTCCGGGTCCACCATGCGGGGTGCGAGCGAGCACGCACCGGGGAAGCGAGCGAGCGATCCATCGCACGCCGTGTGGACGATTACTCTACGAATGTTTTAGTTGTAGAGATACTATAAAAGAGCGAAAGAATTTATTCCGACAGGTTCAGATTAGTAGTCTTTTCAAGACACCTTAAGATTAGTAGTCCATTGCAGGAGATGCAATTTTTGCAATGCATTCTTCAGTCATCTATAATTCTTTCATCAAAGGAATTGCAAGTTTAGTACAGGTTTCTGTGGATGATATTTCTAGCATTACAACCAGGGCAGTGTGAATATAAAATTCTGCTCAATCCAAACTAAAATGAGAAAATGCATAAGGGCAAACAGGATAACATAGTATGTCAATTGGAAGATATCATATTTAGGTTCTTAATATCCAATAGAAGTTGATATAATCCATAGGCAGGTGATGTGGGAATTCCTAACTTGAATTAATGGGCACAATTGTGATAGGCCTGCTAAGAAAGTATCCGCTATTCTTTCAAGGGAGAACACAAAGAAAGCAAACATAGAAGCTCAACTGAAGAAAATTGAGGTAATTTCATCCGCTCTCTTCTTTGCCCTTTTAATAGAAGGAATGATATTTTTTATTGTCTGGTATGTGCACTTACTAAGTTTAAGCATCTCTCATATTTTGATAGAGACTTGAGTCACCGATAACAATTAGTCAATTATAGAGGAATTTGGAGAAGGATAGATCCAGTAGACTAATATGCCACCCCCTCAAATGTGCTATCCTCTTAGCTAAAGCTTATGATTTATTCATGTTCAGTAACAACTGGAAAAGAAGAAGGCTGAATATGCTGAGAAGATGAACAAGGTTGCAATGATCCACAAGGAAGCCGAAGAGAAGCGAGCGATGGTGGAGACAAAGCGCAGCGAGGAGGTCCTGAAGGCCGAGGAGATGGCTGCCAAGTACCGGGCCACCGGCCACGCACCTAGGAAGCTCATCGGGTGCTTCGGAGCCTAAGAAACCTTCCAAGTCACACCGAGCAGAATGTGAAAAACGTCAACCAGTGATTGCTTGGTCCTCTCGTTCTATCAAGTGTGTAGTGTCTCCGAAAGTGTGAAAAGCCTGCTGCGCTGTTGTATATACAGATATTGCTTCCAAGACAGGCGTTTGGTGGTGTACATGTTGAATGCTTGACGAGAAACATTCTTATGTGTAGTTAAGGGGTCACACTGTTGTTGTTGTTGTTGACATTTAAGCAGACATTTTGTTCTTCTCCTGGTGTTACTGTTCTTGCCTATCCGGTCGAATTTGGAGTTTCTGCTCGTTTGTGCATCCGCTTAACCGCATTTATGTGGCCTAGGGATTTTTTTTATAGGTAGGAATGTTATAATTTTAAATGTAAAACGAGCGAAGTTTGTTATGGTGAAATCTGTTCATTCGAATTCAAATTCTTCTATAGCCTTCGATAACATTCATTCAATTATCTCCCGAAAACATTGGCGTCTAAACTGTAGTGGGACTCAATCCTCAATGGCCAGTTTCGTGCGGCCTGGGCCGAATAGCAAATGCTGTACTGGACTGGTCTGAAAATAGACGGGCCTCCACATGTCTGGACTTCGGCAGTGACAGGCTGACAGCAAGGGGCGTCAAGTGAGGATGATGGAGAGAAATCGCACTCTCTCTCTCCGTGTATATATATAGAGAGAGAGGTTAATAATGAACTAATATTTGGACAATGTAATTGTATCATCATGCATTTTAGAAATAATATCCTTGAAAATTTATTGTTACTAGAAACATACCCCGCGGTTGCCACGGGGTTTTCTTAAAAATAAATCTATTATATATATAGCATTACTATAGGCTGGGCTAATCGGCGCGCTGCGTGTTGAATACTAATCAATGTGCCGGCGGTGCAAGCATTTGCCTCCATTTTATTCCGGCGAGCCATGCGGAGAGTAAATTTGTACTCTATTGTGTTCCCTCAGTAGTAATTTTAGTTATTGGACATCTTAAATGGCCTCAATTATTGCATGCGGCAAAGCATGACCCTATTTTTTTTATTTCAGGGAGCCACGCATGAGTAAGATTGTATACGTTTTAGTCCGGTTGAGCAACACATGAGTAAAATTGTATAGATGTTTGTACGCAACCACATAGGAGCAGTTTTTTTTTTATTTCTGGCAAGCCACGTAGGAGTAAAATTTTATTTCCGGCAATCAGAATACATATAAAATTTTATTTTGGCGATCAAATTATGGAGTTTGTTCTTTTAATTTTGGCCAACTGGTGGAGTAAAACTGAGTACGTTTTATTCTTGCAACCAAGATATGGACTTTTTTTTTCTAATTTTGTCTATCACCGGAGTAGTAAAAATGTTTAATTCATGCGAGCAAATTGTGTGGTTTGTTTTCCAAATGAAAATGTTTTAATTCATGCGGACGACCCATTTTTTTTTATTCCGGTGAGCCACACAAGAGTAAAAATACATAAGATGCTTGTACGCAACCAGCTACAACCAAATACGAGTAATTTTCTGATCAAATTGATTCATAAGCGCAGATCATCAAAGATGGATTACATGTACAGGCTTGTTTCTCCAAACAGTACCGTCAGGTCGCGCTCGCGGCGCAGCTAGGTAGCGGCGTGTAGCGCTCGCGCCGCCTGCAGTCGTCGTGCAGCAGCGACGTCCTCGTCCGAGATAGCAACGCAATCGACGTCCTCGTCCGAGATGCAATGCAACCGGCTACAGTCCTCGTGCACTGAAGTTCTTGCCGGTGAGCTGCAAACTGAAGTATCTTCTTTCTTCTTCTCTATTTCGCTCTTATTTGTTCACAAGTGAAAGTTCACTCATATCTGCTTATTATTTGTAGTGTTCTTTAAGGCCTTAGCTTTTAATTAAATCCGATGGAACAACATGCAGATATGTGTGTGCCAAGGAGGGTTGTCGAGAACGAGACAAGAGAGATCATTTCATAAAAAATCCTCGAGCAGTGCAGCTACAAGTGTCTTTGTCTCTTGTGTGATACATATAATGTCCTACCTAATGCTCAGCAAAATGAAGAATTGCTTAGTGCTGCACGCTTAAAGAAAAAAGAGGTTCAACCAAGAAGTTCAAAGAGACATAGAAGTTGGCTTGACAAGACAAGAAAGTACAAAAAGAAAGTGCCAGATAATTCTAATGTATGTTCCTAAAAACTTAGAATATGGTGTCTTAATTTATTACTTCTTGCTAAAAAATAATATTTGGATGTTTTACGCAGCATGAAGTGAATGATGGTGATGTAGAAACTCAAGTGTTGGATAGTACTAATAGATTTGATGATGGTAGCATTCACTAGCTTCACAGATTTGATGATGGTATACTACAGTGCTCTGTAAAATGCATGTGTTCTGTCCTCTGTCCATGAAGTGGGCCTGAGCTGGGCTGCAGTTCTCATCTGGGCTGTGCAGTCTAGCACTAGGAGAGCAAAGATGTCCAGCAGCCGTCGGATAGTGAATGGATGGCGTCCGGCATGCCTAAAAGTCACCTGTGACTTTACTGAAGAACTGCAGAGAATCTGGATTGCAAAAGCAGTATCTTCACTAACAGAGTGGTATATGAATACAAGCATATATTGATTTGTGTGGCCTGATCTCATAAACACTAATTGGACTAGGAGAAAGTATTATATCTAAAACAGTAAAATAGGTTCTAAGAATACACATCAATGAATTTAATTACCACCATGTGGTCGGAATAGGAGGATACTTCAATTGAAGCTCGAGTTAATCAAGAACCTGCATTCTGCACATGTACAGGAATGAATCACAAGAGCTGAATAGTACAGAACCAACATTTCTCTGCTTGTTTATTTGTTTGAAGCAAGCGCATCGTCAATCACAAATATGCATCCTAAAGTATCCCCAGGAAAAGAGCGAAGATCAGAAACTTATAGAAATATCATATTTCTTTTTAGCATATCGCGGACGAGTATAATAGGCATCCTCAGTAAATGAAAACACGAGAGATGCATCCTCAGGAATAAAAGGGTTATATGCTCGTCAGAATCATTTTCAATGCATGTAACAGCAAACTCGATTAACCATGGATGTATCATAAAAAACGAAGCAGGATCCGGCTGCAGATAGCACTTCCTCTGCTTCGAGCAGGTGCGCCAAGGTTATCCTTATCTGTAATGGAAACGTAGATCCTCTTATTAGAATTTGAGATTGGAAAAAAACAGGAAAATTAAATTCAGATTCGGGGAGACCCACGTGAGTACTGACCTCGGTGCAGGTGCTCCGATCTGCACAGAACACAGAAAATTAGATTTGGGAAACTCACTGGTAATTGGAGTTGGCTCGTGCTACGACTCACCATGGCGAGCGTACGCGGGGAGGGCCATCAATGGGAGGAGGATCACTGGCGCCGCCAGATCCACCGCCGAGTGGACGCCACCTGTGAGGGGAGGAATGCGCTGCCGGTTGGGAGGCCGGGGAAGGACGCGCTGCCCGTGGGAGGGTGTGCCGACATGGCCGATGGGGAGGGAACGACGCCGTGGCCGATTGGGAGGGAGCGCAGCCATGGCCGATTGGGAGGTGGCGCCACTGCCGGCCCTGTGCGACGCCGCCAGTAATAGGAGAGGAGGCCGTCGGGGTGGGGGTCGGCTACTGCGGCTGCCGTCGGGGTCAGGGTGTTGGAGTGCTGCTGCCGCCGCCATCGGGGTCGGGGTCGGGGTCGGGGTCGGGGTGGGCCGCCGCGGGCGCCGTCGGGGTGGGGGGAGGCGCCGTGGCCGCAGTCGCAATGGAGAAGGCCGCCGAGCATTAGGACCTCCGCGCGTCCGCCGCGGGCGTCGGTGCCGACGTTCAGCGGCTGGGAGCTAGGCGGCGCGGCGGTGCCGAACTATTCGCTCGACTTCACCAAGATCCGCGCACGGAGCGTAGGAAGGGGCTCGCTTGGCCGGCGATGAAAGCATGGAATTAGGGCTCGACGACGTAGCTCGGCAGGCTAGTGACTCGGCTGGGCTCGGCCCATTTATATTTTTCAATGAGTCTGCAGTTTAGCTCGTGTAGTTAACGAGCCAAGCTGGCTCGAGCTGTCTTGTCAACCTAACAAGCCAAAGTTGTTGATCTTAAATTTTTATTAGTTTTATATGACTTTATGTTTTACATGTTACAATTGGTCGATGACTGGACTTTGATTTTATAAATTTAGAATTATACGACTATTTTGTTTTAAATGGATGTATAGATAATCAATAACAGATTATGAATATATTATGTATAGTATGAAGTATGGCCTATAGATGCATGGTGTAGTACTATAATATATTAATACATATTAATTTTTATTTGATTTAAGGTTTATGAATGAACTACTTTTATATTATTACTATTCTCAAACTTTAAATAAATACATATATTATATTTTTATGTTTTTTTATGACTGACTCGCGAGCTTAACGAGCCGAGCCGAGCTGGCTCGTTAAGCCAGCCCTACATGGAATGCGTGGATCACGAACTCCCTCCGTCCCAAAATAAACAATATTTTTTATTTTCACATATCTTGTTTGACTGTTCGTTTTATTTAAATTATTTTATAAATATTATCTATTTTGTTATGACTTATTTTATTATTAGAGATATTTTAATAATAATTTATTTATTCTATAATTTATAAAAAAATTGAATAAAACAAATGGTCAAACACGATTTGTAGAAGTCAAAAACGTGACTTGTTTCACGAGGGAGGGAATAGGCGGGTGAAGAGGATTCACGGTGCGGGAGACTGGGAATAAATGTCGCTGGTGTTCTGGGAAATGGGGTTTTCTTGCCAAGGATGGCACGATTACCGAGGATTCGGACGGATCTTTCACGGAGGAAAAAAAGGAAGTAATTTTTTTTTGGCTTGGATCATTGGAATTTACTACTCAATGGCTGAGTAGTAGTATTTCTATCCTTTTAAAAGCGGTGTCCACCCCTGTGATTGAGTTGTTTCGTTAATTTTTTTTCACCGACCAAACATGTAATTTTACTGAGTCATGGACTATAGTTATTAGGACCAGACTAGACATTAAACCATCGAGGCCATCGGTTCGTTTGGTCCAACCGTTCAAAACCGGTTAAACCGTCGGTTCGATAGTTTCGGACCGGATGAATTGAACCGGTCACAAATACTTCAAACCGGTGGAATATAATAATATGTAACTGATAATTAGCAACATATATAGTTGATCACATATATAAATAAGCTGATAAAGAACACAATTACATAACCAGCTTTCAACTAATCTAGCCACAAGTCCATAAACAGGTACTAAAAAATGCGCATGAAAAGATAATATACAGAGCACTTATGAATTGCTGCAAAAAGAACTTAAATAGTAATTCAAATATTCATTGTTGCAAAATAATTTTAAATTCTAAAATGGATTGTACCATTGCGAAAAACTCGTCAAGATGGTCAAAATAAATATATTGGGTCCGTTCTGCTGCTCCACAAATTCACTGTAGCCAGGCTGAAATCACTGTAGCCGAGCTATTTCAATAGTATTATGTGAGAGAGAATAAACCGAAACAAACCGAAACCAGACAAGCGGAACAGGCTAATTATTTATCTAATTTAGAGCTCATATGAAAATGATAAAAACTTGAAATTAAAAACCGCCAAACTCAACAACGTCAGCGTGTCAGCCAAGGTACGGTGGCACACACTGAACACGCACCCGTCAAAAATTCAAAATCAGCAGGCCGGCAGCATCAACCAGACGGGCCCACCTGTGACAGGTGCACAGGCGGATACCTACGGGCAGGATTGCAGTAGCACGCGCGCGACCAGTAGAGCGGGACGGTTCGCATGGAACCGGGTGTTCACCGTTTCCGCGAAAAACGACCGGTTTAACTTGTTTTTACCAGTTAAATTGCACATGCGATTTTTTAAGTGAACCGAACCGAGCGGTCCGACTGTCAATCCGATCCGATCCTAATAACTAAATCATGGACTGCAGTAATAAAAATGTGGCTGTTATGGTATTCAACTGAGGCCTTGTTTAGATACCCTCAAAATTCCAAATTTTTTCACTCTCTCTCTATCATATCAATTTTTAGCCGCTTGTATGGAGTATTAAATGTAGGTAAAAAAATAACTAATTATACAGTTTAGTTGGAAATCACGAGATAAATCTTTTGAGCCTAGTTGGTCCATGATTGGATAATATTTGCCAAATAAAACGAAAGTAGTACTATTTATCGGGTTGAAAAAAGTTACAATCTAAACGTGGTCTGAGATAGGAGTTACTGCTCTGGGGTGTCGCCGGACAGTGGTGGTGCGTTAATAAACAACACGCAGGGAGTAGAATAGCCAATATTTTCTGTTTACTGTATATATATATATATATATGAATTTGATTTGTATGTTATTTTATTATATCAGATCTGGTAAAAAATCGGTAAGCTAATAGAAAAAAATCAATAGAATATTTGATCACATTATTGAGGAATAGGCGATGAAACAAATAGCGTATATAGATGGCTTGTATATTAATAGATTAAAGATTAAAAGTATTACACATAATAGAGATGACGTGTAATTTTTTTTTGTAACTAGATAAAAGCCCATGCGTTGCACGAAAAAATAATGATACGATAAACATGTGTTATTATCGGGATCATAAACCCGGGGTCCCTAACAGGACCGCTTCCCACAAAACTCGGCCCAGCAGCACAGCAGGAGCACACGTCTAGGCCGGCCCAAGCAATAGCCAACACCCTCACCCTGAGGGCCTGACTCGACTCCAACCGAGCTCTCCGACTGAGAACTCGGTAGAACCACTAACACCACTGAACCGACCGGTTCAGTCGGTGCCGACTGGGAACAACCGACTGGGGACGCCCAGTCGGTGAGGGCCCAGAAGGCAGCCAAAGCAGGTGAGGAGAACACAAGCCTCGTCCGACCCCAAGGGCGAGGCCTCCGTCTCACCCGAATCAAAAGGGACAGAAGTCAACCGCAGTACCGAGGTTCATACTCAGCCACGCCTCCCGCCCATATTGGGCGGTGCCGTTTTGTCGTATCAGGCGTAAACTGTGCGGTACCGACTTAGGACAGTGTTGCGGGCGCCATCATCTACCGTACCCAGCGTACACCATGCAGGTTGTCAGGAATAGCGTGACTTGAACAGTAAGGTAGGCGATTGCGGCACAAACAGTATGATGGGCGATGACCATGCCGTACCCGATGGCATGGGCAACAAGACTAGCAACACACCGTATACAATCTCTCTCTCTGTTGTAAAGCCACCCCCTTCTGCTATAAAAGGGGATGCGCTCCCTCTTTTAAACAGAGGCAAAAAATGTAGCCAACAGCTGAGACAATCAACAAGCTCAGACAACTAGTATTTTACATATCCACAGGTCCCAGTCGGTTCTCTCCACTAGGACTTGAGTCCGACCGGGTCTCTTACACCCCCTGCTCATTCCTCGTCTGTTTGTAACCCCACAACAAACTTTGAGCATCAGGGCTCAGGAATAAAGTCATCGAATGGCCCATCTTCCCGCCGCTTCCGGCGTGGCAAGCTCAAACGATACGGTTCGTTTCGGCTCGCTGGAGTTTCCCATGTTCCCATCCACCGGGACGTGGGCTCCTCCCGTCTTCGCCCCATCCTAGACTTTCCGTTTTGGGAATCTAGACTTCGTCGCCGACCAGCTCGGCGTACTCCGCCTCCGTGATGAGGCGCTCATCCTGGCACCCGTGGAAGGAGAGGCGCTCTTCGTGGGCCCCGGGGCACTCAACTACTCCAACGTCGAGACATGCGCGCCCCACCTTGAGTCCATGCTAGGCTCAAATCCCACGGTGAGTAATGTATATTTTGTTCTACATTCACCATTTAGTACTTTCAACCAGTTTCCCAGAGGGATCCTGCTGTCCTCGCCGCGATCACCACACGGCTGGTTCCCCTGTGACCTCGTGTCCCCTGCGGACGCGTACGCACGGGGGCTCTGGAAAACTGTGACGTTGTACCCCCTCTTGTCCGAGTTCATGGGCATGGCGGGGTATGCCCCCACCTCTTTCCACGACCTCGTTGATGAGGTGATCGAAAGCAATGGCTCTAGCGTTGGCGACGTCCCGATGCCTAGCCATCCTCTGTCCTGAGAGTGTGCCATGGCAGGCGGTCTGGGACAGCCACCGGAGGTGGTGGAACCTCGATAGGCCCACACACCCCTGAACGCTCGTGCGCAAGCCTTGGTGCTTGCACCTGAGCACGGCGATAGGTTGCAACAGCAGCAACTGCACCGGAAGCCGCCTACGTTAGCACCACTGGCGCAGCACGCTGGTCTGCATGCTCGCGACTTAACAAGCAGCGCTCGTGGACGTGCCCTCTAAGTTCATCAGAACATCCTGGCGGAGGAGGATGATCCCGCTCAGTTCGCTCGCGCCGGCCAGAACATCATTGCTGCGGCGATGCTTCTGCGCAGCCTCCCCGAGTCTGCCAACCCGCAGGAGCAGACAATCCACCGGAACCTCCGGGTGCTGGTGGAGACCGCCACTGTCCAACAGGCGAAAAGCTCCGCTTCGCATCGTCGGCACGCGGCCTCTTGCCTAGCCGAGGGGCACTCGCCGCGCTGGTCAGATCACTCCACC